CCTGTTATATAGGGTTGTAGTGTACAGAGTAATTAGTCCTGTTATATAGGGTTGTAGTGTACAGAGTAATTAGTCCTGTTATATAGGGTTATAATGTACAGAGTAATTAGTCCTGTTATATAGGGTTGTAGTGTACGGAGTAAATTAGTCCTGTTATATAGGGTTATAATGTTCAGAGTAATTAGTCCTGTTATATAGGGTTATAGTGTACATAGTAATTAGTCCTGTTATATAGGGTTGTAGTGTACAGAGTAAATTAGTCCTGTTATATACGGTTGTAGTGTACGGAGTAAATTAGTCCTGTTATATAGGATTGAAGTGTACAGAGTAAATTAGTCCTGTTATATAGGGTTGTAGTGTACAGAGTAATTAGTCCTGTTATATAGGGTTGTAGTGTACAGAGTAAATTAGCCCCGTTATATAGGGTTGTAGTGTACAGAGTAAATTAGTCCTGTTATATAGGGTTGTAGTGTACAGAGTAAATTAGTCCTGTTATGTAGGGTTGTAGTGTACAGAGTAATTAGTCCTGTTATATAGGGTTGTAGTGTACAGAGTAATTAGTCCTGTTATATAGGGTTGTAGTGTACAGTGTAAATTAGTCCTGTTATATATGGTTGAAGTGTACAGATTAAATTAGTCCTGTTATGTAGGGTTGAAGTGTACAGATTAAATTAGTCCTGTTATATAGGGTTGTAGTGTACAGTGTAAATTAGTCTTTTTATATAGGGTTGACAGGTTCTGGTTTCTCTTCATCACAGGGATCTGAGGCGCTGAAGGAAGCATTCTCTGAGTTCCTGATAAAACTACAGAAAATCTGTAATTCAGGTGAGATCTACTAACTTTGTACTAGACTAAAAAATTCAAATGAAGAAATATACTAATTTTGTACTTGAACTTAAAATTTAAACAAAAGACATTTTAAAAAGAACAATTATCTAGCAGTGGTGTATATGTAGATGAGTTTAGTTTCTACAAGATTGTTTTTGAAACAATAATGACATTGTGTAAAGCCTTGTATTAACACCAAGAAATAGATGTTGCTTGTGTTGTACATTTCCTGTATAATGTTCAGAGAGTGTTTCCAAACAGAAAATCAGAATAGACAGTGGTCAGCCAATACCTGGGTGACACTAGGTTTAGAAAAACCTAAAAGTTTCTGTGGTTTACGACGTTACTTTTATCCATTTGTCACATTATCAAAATAATTAACTAAGATTTTTCATTTGAAGGGTCTACAGATGTTTTTACATCAGAGCTGAATAAGTTAGAGTATCGTGAGAAAACATTGATTCTCGACATCATGGAGGGATAACAGATGACAGAGTATTGGAGAAAACATTGATTCTCGACATCATGGAGGGATAACAGATGACAGTGTATCGTGAGAAAACATTGATTCTCGAGATCATGGAGGGATAACAGATGACAGAGAATCGTGAGAAAACATTGATTCTCGACATCATGGAGGGATAACAGATGACAGATACAGACACATACATCGAAGTGTATCACAGTATACAGACGTACTTACGTATCACTGGTACTGGTCCTAGCTGTCCAAAGATTCATTTTATACTATTGAGTCAAAATAATGATACAAATGTAGCCATTTTTATTAATCAATTTTTAATTGTTTTATTCTATTATGAATTGTGCTTAAATTTTTCACTTTTAAAAAAAATGTAAGAATATTGTTACAACCTTTTCTCAGGTCAGCTGTGTCGTCCACATTCCTGTACTCCAGTTACCGTCCCCGTTGGTGTACAAAGTTACGATATTCCTGATTTTTGTATGTGTCTTCTAGTCCTCATTTTCTTTACACAATGCTTGTCTGATCACATAACATTTGTATAAAATACTCGTTTGTGTCAAAGAAGATATATTTTTATAAACATGACTACTTTGTACAATAGACACTACTGACTCGAATTTTTCTACACAATCAGAAGTTATTTTCAACTTTCATTTTATGTTCTCCTTTAACTAATTAACTGCCAAAGTCATCCTCTGAATACTGAAGACTTATATATATATACTTCGTTATCAATTTGCCATCACCGTAAGCTTTTTGGCATTAGATCCTGATGTACAAATCACTAACTTGTCCAGTAGCATAAACATTGATGTGCTAATAGTTTGTTGCATCAATAAATAATGCAAGGATGAGAAACAGGATTGCATGTCTTCATTGTTCTCATGTGTGACATCAGACATGTGACTACATCAGACATGTGACTACATCCGACATGTGACTACATCAGACATGTGACTACATCCGACATGTGACTTCATCAGACATGTGATTACATCAGACATGTGACTACATCAGACATGTGACTACATCCGACATGTGACTACATCAGACATGTGACTTCATCAGACATGTGACTACATCAGACATGTGACTACATCCGACATGTGACTACATCAGACATGTGACTACATCAGACATGTGACTACATCAGACATGTGACTACATCAGACATGTGACTACATCAGACATGTGACTACATCAGACATGTGACTACATCAGACATGTGACTACATCAGACATGTGACTACATCCGACATGTGACTTCATCAGACATGTGATTACATCAGACATGTGACTTCATCAGACATGTGATTACATCAGACATGTAACTACATCAGACATGTGTCCTTGTGACTACATCAAACATGTGACTACATCAGACATGGGACTACATTAGACATGTCTACATCAGACATGTGACTACATCCGACATGTGACTACATCCGACATGTGACTACATCAGACATGTGACTACATCCGACATGTGACTACATCAGACATGTGACTTCATCAGACATGTGATTACATCAGACATGTGACTACATCCGACATGTGACTACATCAGACATGTGACTACATCAGACATGTGACTACATCAGACATGTGACTTCATCAGACATGTGATTACATCAGACATGTGACTACATCAGACATGTGACTACATCAGACATGTGACTACATCAGACATGTGACTACATCAGACATGTGACTACATCAGACATGTGACTACATCAGACATGTGACTACATCAGACATGTGACTACATCAGACATGTGACTACATCAGACATGTGACTACATCAGACATGTGACTACATCAGACATGTGACTACATCAGACATGTGACTACATCAGACATGTGACTACATCAGACATGTGACTTCATCAGACATGTGTCCTTGTGACTACATCAAACATGTGACTACATCAGACATATGACTACATTAGACATGGGACTACATCAGACATGTGACTACATCAGACATGTGACTCGATATGTAACTGACATGTTAGTTGTTTTCCATCAGTGTATCGCATTAAGATTAAGTAGAACTAAGATCATAGTGGTGTATGTATATTTTCATTCTGAGTTACAAATTACTCCTTATGACCTAATGTTGATATACAAATATCATGCCAGTTTATTTTTCTTTGCTTTATGAAATTTTATAAAAGTAGAATTGTTGTGCATCATGTTGCCTACCTTACAGTAGAATGTTAGACATTGAAGAAATATCTTCTTGTTGTCTGTGTTACCATATAGTGGAAGCCAAGCTTGTCAAATAGTTTGATATATATTGTTTATCTTATTTGTCCATTCCATATTATTAGAAAAATTGTTCAATTTTAGTTTCCTTGATTTTATCTGTATTTTATGTTCCATTTCCTGTTGCTGTATATATGACAGACAGTTTCACAGCATAGAAATTAGAAAAGTGATGAGATTAGGTTTTGCTACCCACAGATGGAAATAAGAATCTTGGCATCATCCTGTAAACAACTTCATTGTCTTTCAAGAAGTGTTAGCAGGATAGTGATAGTTATGAAATCATTTAGAATTGTTGTACAGCCTTTTGTTTTTATACGCCCGTCAAATTTGACGGAAGTATTATAGTATGGGGTCGTCCGTCCGTCCGTCCGACGTAAACTTTTGTTTGTGCGGCAATCTCCTCCTACTTTTTCAACGGATTTCTTTGAAACTTGGTACACATTATAATCATGATATGAAGTTGTGTCTCCCTTAAAAGAATTTTGATTCAACAATTTTTCCAAAAGTTATTGCCCTTTGTTTTTTTTCAGTATTTGATTTTTGTCCGGCAATCTCCTCCTACATTTTTTGACGGATTTCTTTGAAACTTGGTATACATTATAATCATGATATGAAGTTGTGTCTCCATTAAAAGAATTTTGATTTGATGATTTTTGCAAAAGTTATTGCCCTTTGTTCATTTCAGTATTTGATTTTTTGTCCGGAGATTTTCTCCTACATTTTTTATAGCATGTCAGCTTACCACTCTTCAAATGATGCAGATCTTATTTCAATGTAAGATAACCTGATAAATAGACGTCCCTCCCACAAAAGTTGTCCTAATTACCTGCTAAAAACTGTAATCTTAATCAAGTTTTAATGCCCCTTGTAGTATTTTAATATAAGATATATAATTAGGAAAACAAACCAATTAAAACCAGCAATATGTTTTGATCTGTAGGATGACATAGAATAGTGAAATATTAATTTTGAATGTCAAAAACGAGATTGTTAGGATTTGAACTAACTGATCACGTTAAGCATAATGTGTTATATAATGTATTTATTTATGAGTCTGGTAGAGAGGAATTTGAGAATTCCTGAACCGAAAATAAACTTATCTATCTCATGTCAACATTGTTTCACATGTCCAGTGATAGTGTTTCACATGTCCAGTTATAATGTTTCACAAGTCCAGCAATAACATTTCACATGTCCAGTGATAATGTTTTCACATGTTTAGGGTTTCATTTGTCCAGCAATAGAATTTCACTTGTCCAGTGATAATATTTCACTTATCTGGTGATACCGAGTAATGCTTCACATATCTGGTGATACCGAGTAATGCTTCACATATCTGGTGATACCGAGTAATGCCTCATATATCTGGTGATACCGAGTAATGCTTCACATATCTAGTGATACCGAGTAATGCTTCACATATCTGGTGATACCGAGTAATGCTTCACATATCTGGTGATACCAAGTAATGCTTCACTTTACAGTTCTTTATTGATACCTGTTGGTTGTCAATCAAATAAGCCATATCAATAACAGGAATTTGCTGTTAGTTGTAAACCACTTATGTGACTATGGTAGATGTTACCAATATCTAGGTAAGGTTTTAGTATTATCCCATTTAGTTAAAAAAGAAAATTTCATTCACAGAATGTTAAAACTCATTTCGTAAATATCATATATGGAAACTCACATTATTAGTTCAAATCATAAACAGCATTGTTAATATTACAGTCATTGTGTTATTCTATTTACAATCATGATATATACAATGTACCTCCTTAATGTTAAAACATAACTGTGATGTGATGAACTTGCCATTAACACAAGTATACAGGTCATTATTTTACAGTAATCTTTTCATTGTTACATTTATAACAGAAAACAGTGATAGTGTTCCACTGGTATAAACCTGTATATATATGGTCTCCGTACAGCAGTACCTATGAAAGCTAATACTAGAAGAAACTGGAGATCCTATACTCAAAGACTGTGGGTTATTATGTAACATACATCAGGTCTCAATGAGCAGAGGAGAAAAGTGACACAGTGTAGCTAGGTCAAAGGTCATCCTTGTAGATTAATTATATATACTAAATAGAGTCAGGGAGTGGGAATATTCAGTGTGTATGGAGGTCAACATGACTGACACCCGCAATCTTAAAATAAAGACAGAATCTCATTTTATTGTTAAACCCCTCATTGATTTGTGTTAGAGTGTATACAGATGTTTATTTGGTTAGGTAGACGAGGGAAATCTTAACCCGGGTGATTTCCGAGGATTAAAGCCTCGTGCTCAACCTTAGAAGTTTATCCAGAGGACTGATATTTCTCTGTCAACATCACGCTGGAGTGATTGATTGGTTACTCCCTACTCTCACATAAAAAGTGCTGCCACTTGTACAGCTGTGCCAAAGTTGAGGACCCAAATCCTGTTTTGATGGGTTTAGCAGAATAAAGTTTATCAGAATAAACAAGGAAGAGGATTCTATTTTTACTACAAAAGCTTGGGAATGCACCCGTGAAACTCGGAGAAAAGATTGTCGTAAGTTTAGATTGTATTAAGATGTTTAAGATAAGACTGTCACAAGTTCAGATTGTATTAAGATGTTTAAGATAAGACTGGCACAAGTTCAGATCGTATTAAGATGTTTATGATAAGACTGTCACAAGTTCAGATTGTATTGAGATGTTTAAGATAAAACTGGCACAAGTTCAGATCGTATTAAGATGTTTAAGGTAAGACTGTCACAAGTTTAGATTGTATTAAGATGTTTAAGATAAGACTGGCACAAGTTCAGATTGTATTAAGATATCTAAGATTGAATCAAGATGTTTAAGGTAAAGCTGGCAGAGATAGAGATTGTATTGGTAGGTTAAACTAAGATAAGACTGTCACAAGTTTTGATTGTGTTAGGATATTTAATTTAAAACTATCAGAAGACCTATTATGTACATTATTATGTTAGTTAATCAGTTATTTTTCACAAAATATTTGTGTATTTAATATTCATGAGTAGAGACAATTGTGAATTGAAATAGAAAACTCCTGTTAACAATGACATTGACAAATGTCTCTAAACACTGAAATTTAACATGTATACGAGATATGAATAGTCATTGTGTTTGATTCCACTACTTACACACATAGAGCCCGGTTATAGGTGTTAACTCTGTAATGTTGACTGGATATATAAGTTAATTCAGTGTCAGGGTACACACATAGAGCCCGGTTATAGGTGTTAACTCTGTAATGTTGACTGGATATATAAGTTAATTCAGTGTCAGGGTACACACATAGAGCCCGGTTATAGGTGTTAACTCTGTAATGTTGACTGGATATATAAGTTAATTCAGTGTCAGGGTACACACATAGAGCCCGGTTATAGGTGTTAACTCTGTAATGTTGACTGGATATATAAGTTAATTCAGTGTCAGGGTACACACATAGAGCCCGGTTATAGGTGTTAACTCTGTAATGTTGACTGGATATATAAGTTAATTCAGTGTCAGGGTACACACATAGAGCCCGGTTATAGGTGTTAACTCTGTAATGTTGACTGGATATATAAGTTAATTCAGTGTCAGGGTACACACATAGAGCCCGGTTATAGGTGTTAACTCTGTAATGTTGACTGGATATATAAGTTAATTCAGTGTCAGGGTACACACATAGAGCCCGGTTATAGGTGTTAACTCTGTAATGTTGACTGGATATATAAGTTAATTCAGTGTCAGGGTACACACATAGAGCCCGGTTATAGGTGTTAACTCTGTAATGTTGACTGGATATATAAGTTAATTCAGTGTCAGGGTACACACATAGAGCCCGGTTATAGGTGTTAACTCTGTAATGTTGACTGGATATATAAGTTAATTCAGTGTCAGGGTACACACATAGAGCCCGGTTATAGGTGTTAACTCTGTAATGTTGACTGGATATATAAGTTAATTCAGTGTCAGGGTACACACATAGAGCCCGGTTATAGGTGTTAACTCTGTAATGTTGACTGGATATATAAGTTAATTCAGTGTCAGGGTACACACATAGAGCCCGGTTATAGGTGTTAACTCTGTAATGTTGACTGGATATATAAGTTAATTCAGTGTCAGGGTACACACATAGAGCCCGGTTATAGGTGTTAACTCTGTAATGTTGACTGGATATATAAGTTAATTCAGTGTCAGGGTACACACATAGAGCCCGGTTATAGGTGTTAACTCTGTAATGTTGACTGGATATATAAGTTAATTCAGTGTCAGGGTACACACATAGAGCCCGGTTATAGGTGTTAACTCTGTAATGTTGACTGGATATATAAGTTAATTCAGTGTCAGGGTACACACATAGAGCCCGGTTATAGGTGTTAACTCTGTAATGTTGACTGGATATATAAGTTAATTCAGTGTCAGGGTACACACATAGAGCCCGGTTATAGGTGTTAACTCTGTAATGTTGACTGGATGTAAGTTAATTCAGTGTCAGGGTACAAAGTGGGTTATAGTTTGTGTATTATAGAGGAATGATAGATTATATTTTCAGTTTGTCATGAGAAATATAATTCTCTGTATACATGTAATTACAACCGTGCTACATTTTCCGTCCAGGGACAACTATTGATACATGTAGAATGTGCTGTCATCTGTATTTCATTTTTAAACTATATAATGTTGTGTTGTAAATGGTACAAATAATTGTGTTATGGTAAACATTATTGTCATGTAAATGTGTGTTTATTAGGAAGTTATTTTCTTTTTTAAGAAAGGAAACAGTCAATTTCGTACTTACAGACTTGAGATTAAAAACAGATTCAGCTGATATACTATAGATAACATTACTGGTTGGTCTGTCTCTGATTCTTTTAAAACCAATGAAAATTAAATTTGATTGTTACTGTTTAAGTCAATATAACTGTTCACTTGTCTCTAAAATTGAAACTACTTTCTTACTACAATAATTGACATTATAATTAATTGATAGTAGTCTATTTAAGTAATTGACAAAGATTTCCTTTTTTTTCTGGCCCCAAGGTTATAAACTGTAGTCTTGATTGATTCCTGATCTGGAAGCCAGGACCACTAGTAGAAATTATTCTTGACTTACCAGTATGTCTAGACTAGGTTTCTGATCTGGAAGCCAGGACCACAAGTAGAAATTATTCTTGACTTACCAGTATGTCTAGACTAGGTTTCTGATCTGGAAGCCAGGACCACCAGTAGAAATTATTCTTGACTTACCAGTATGTCTAGACTAGGTTTCTGATCTGGAAGCCAGGACCACAAGTAGTAATTATTCTTGACTTACCGGTATGTCTAGATTAGGTTTCTGATCTGGAAGCCAGGACCACAAGTAGAAATTATTCT